TCTCCTTCTCTCTTCAAGAAACTACTTTCTTTGATATTTTTTAATTCAGCAGATTTCTACTATTTTGATATAAATAATATTATGTGTATGTATTTAATATATATAATTGAGGTCGAGGCGGGGTGGGGAATTCACTCCCCATCCCCGTCCTCGTCCCCGTCCCCAATTGGGTATCACTATCTATCCCCGTCCTGACCAAGGCAATCTCTATCCCCAACCCTATTGGTGTCGGGGAATTTGGGTACCCTACGGGGACAGGGAAAATTGCCATCCCTAAGAGTTGCTCAATTGATCTTAGGTTGCCCAGTTCTTGGATTTTTTTTATGGGAATTAGTCATCAAGAGGGTTATTTATGATTTGGCATCAAAATCAGGAAGAACTAGAGTGAGAGGAAGAATCCTAATCAGATTGGACTCTTTATTCTTGACTTGGAGTTGGGCGCTCGGGTTTTTCTAGACTTCTTGGATATTCATATTTCATAGTTCATACAATGGGTGATTCAGTTTTTGGCAAGATCTAAGCCTCTTCGTGAGATCGACACATTGTTCTCTTGTTCCTCTCAATTCCCGAGAAGGGAGAATTCTTTCCAGGTAAGGTTTTCTTCTTCTAGAAGAGTTTACTTCTTATTTTGGCGAGATCAATTTGATCCAAAGTGTTTTATTTGCATTTTCTTGCTAAATTAAATTGATTGATTTGATAATGGAGAGTAGTACGAATAGAAATCAACCAATGACCTATGTTTGGGTGTAGGAAGTACCAGTGATCCTTTTGGATCTGGGATTATCACTATAGTTAAATTAGATGGTACAAACTATCTAGAATGGGCACAATCAGCCAAGAAGGCTATTGGTGCATGTGGAAAATTGGGATATATTACTAGAGAGGAGAAGAAACCTAATACCAATTCTTCTTAGTGGGTGCAAAAGAATTACATGATGATGTCTTGGCTATGTAATTCTATGATACCCTGTATTGGTAAATTTTTTTTATGGATTGATACTGCTAAGGAGATTTGGGATGGAGTGATTAAGACTTGTTCCTAGAAACAGAATATAGTTAGAGCATATCAGTTGGGAACGAAATAATTAATACAAGGCAAGAAGATAGACCTCTTTCTATGTGGCCACTTATTAGAAGTTGGTAGAGAGTTTTTTGAGTTTCAAGCTAGACACTGGACATAACTAAGTTTGATATTGCAAGACAGTACATTCTTTCTAGAGAAAGTGTGACTCTTTCTCAAGCATATACCTTTGTGTCAAGAGAGGGCAGGAGGAATGTTATGATGAGATAGTCTGGGATTGACCAAACGGCTATAATGAGTAACATTAAACCTAAGACCAATGGAGACAAAGGGAGTAATGAGATTAAGGGGAAGATAAGAAGGACCTGGTGTGTGACTATTGTAAGAAACCTAAGAATACTAGAGACACCTACTAGAAACTCTACCCACACCTTATACTAGCTCGACTAAGAAACAAGAAAGGAAATGCTAATATGGCATTGACTTGGGAATCATCAAGATCACTCCAATTTCCTTGAAGTCCAATGCAGTAGCAGTAGTCAAGGTTGAATTGGTGAAGTATGGACAACTTATAAGTCAGAAGGATACAACCAGTTCTAGTTCTTCATCAGGTTGATAGCAAAATGTAAGAAGTTCAGGGGCTGGTCAAACCACTTCCTTTGCTCATATAGGTAGTTCATATGCAATTGCAAATTATGCATCCATCTCAGGTAAGTAGGGACCTCCTCGAATTATAGACTTAGGAGCATTTGAACATATGACCAATATGTTCATCATATTTTCTTCATATCAGTTATGTTCTGATAGAGATATTATCTAAGAGTAGTTTAACTAAAATTTTGAATTGTTCAGTGACTTTTCTTCCTAGTAATTATGTTTTACAAGATTTGGAGTCAAGTAGGACAATTGGGAGTGATCTTGAGGTGAATGGAGTAGTTCACCTTCTTGACCAAGTTACCAAAGTCATCATGTTAGTAGCAAGGTGTTAATGGTATTAAAAAATTTGATTTCAAATTCGAGACTTGAAATAATCAAATCAAATTCAAATAATTCAAATATCATAATCAATTGAATTTGGATATCCTATTCATACCGTTTAAGTAATCAAATGAATTCAAATATGACCTAATTCAATTTGATAAATATCCAAATTTGATAGATCATTTAATTCTAATATATAATATATAAGATATTTAAATATTTTATATAATTTATGTATAACAATTAAATTATATAAATAATTTATATATTTATATACTTAATATAAATAAAATATTTATTTTATATATTTATTAATTACCTAAAATAATTAATTGGTTGAATTCAAATGACCCTATATGTTAAAAGACTTGGACTACCCTTCCATGAGTATTTTCAAAGTAGATAGAGAGAACTACTCTCACCTACTCTAATGTACTCAATTATTGCTAACAAAAGAAACTGGAAAGAGGACTCCACATAGATCAAGCCTTGAACTCCCTCCAGTAAGCCTATCTGTGTCAACATTAGATGATCTGAGAACCCAGTGGAACAAAAGGGTTCAACCTGGAAATGATGCAAACATGGTTCATACTTAGGTATAAGCCTAACCGAGACCAATTTAGCAGATCAGAAAACTTTAGTTCATGGATAAATAGCAAGACCATGATGCAGAATAGGATATTACCACACCTTAAACAAATTTTATTAGTTCCAGTAATATTTATTAAAAGCACGCAGGTATTCCAGAAGCTGGCAGGTAACAATGAGAAAAAATGATGAATTAGTTCATAGAGAATCAGTCACCAGGAAAAGGATAATCACCTGAACATCAAGTTGCTTTGCAAGGGATACAGTTCTTCTTAAAACTTCTTCTTGTATTCGAGCATCATTATCATCATAAGCACGGACAAGCAATGGAAGTACATGTGCTACTAAGGACTCCTGACTAGTCTGCAACAATTGTAGAGAAGGTAAATTTGTGACTGTGATAATAAATACTGAAACTATCACTACCATTGGTCTTAAAAAATATCCAGAATAAGACAGCTGATTACCAAAAAAATAAAAAGAACAGAAAAATAGAAAAGTCAAGCAGATATCCAAATACACTGTCCACTCAACAACCAATGCATAAAAACAGAAGATAACACAAATCACAAAACCATGAATATGTGTGAATAATTTTATCTATATGCTGAAAAAGTATTTCCTTAAAGCAAAGTATCTTCACTGATACTACTTTTAAAGGTTTTAAAAAATAAATAAATAAAATAACGTCATGAATATGGACATAGAAGCATATCTTATTACTCCAATGGTTAAGATTTAGATTCAGACTCCTTCAAATTACAAAAGAGGGAGAATCATGTGAAGATGTGCTAGAGCAGCCTTGCTAGGGACAATTTGGGAAGAAAGGAATGCTAGAACCTTCCAAGACAAGGAGAGGAGCACCAAGACTCTCAAGATCAGAGCTCACCCCATATTCAAGGTTCACTAGATGCACTGATTGGAGCAAGTCAAGACTACCGCAAGCCTCTTGTCCTTGGAACAATGCCTTTGTCCTGCCCAAAGCCACCTCCTAGGGACCCACTTCGGCTTCATAACCACTCTTCTTCAACCCTTTCTCTTCTTTGTGAGCCTCCATCCAAAGAGCTGCTTTAATGGAGGTCGCCAACCAAACTAAGTAGAAAATCCTAACTGTAATCTGAAGTGCTATACTCGAAGYAGCAAGGAAGAAAAGAGAATGACAGAAAAGAAGAGAATGTCGACCTGTACTAGCCAGTCGACCAGTTCTTTATTTATAGATGAATATAGTACAAGGTACAAGAAATTACTGGGATGCCCCTGATTAGTGATGGGACACCCAGATGAC